GTACCTCATACGCAAAACTGATTTCTTTAAACTGGAAAATGGGAAAAAAAAAAAACACACAACAATCGAATAAGCTTGACACAGTGTAGGACACAAAGAAATACAGTACATCACAGCAAAAAGAGTCAACTACTTTTGTTTTTGATGAGCCTTTCTTACAAAGCAAAAAGAAATGAAAAAGACAGTCGAGTCTCTCGAGTCGTGTTCTTGCAGATTCTGAGGCAGAGAGCAGCACAAATCAAAAACAGAGGCCCTTTTCTCGAGGGAGAAGCGCTTCACGTTCAGTCCTCTTATCTGCACCTTGCATTAATCCTCAAAGAGCTGGGCCGTGTGATCATGACAAACAAAGTTGCCATCATATCTTGGTCCCAATTGTTGAGCGATTGAATTGCTGCTGTTGATTATTTCGCTCACTGTGGTGCTGCTGCGGTTACCTTAACCCGCTTTGGTGCATCATACCTTGTCTCCAGCATCAGGGTTCTTGTCAGGATGGTACTCCTTGGCCAATTTGCGGTAGGCCTGCAACAAATCAAAATATCAACGTGAACAAAGCTGTGTGAGCGCCCTGAGCTCAGGTGCCAACTTAGTTAAAAAGCTCCGCAAGCAAAATCACTAAGTATATTACCTGTCCTTACCAGCCTTACAAGCCCAGGGCTTGACTTGTGGGCCTGCTGTCAAAAACATCAGGACACCGGCAAGAGCATCGCTGCCTTTGACATCTCACACACTCACGAAAATCTTCATCTTTTGAGTTTTACCTGCTTTACCAGCTGGGATAATCTACTGTCATACTACTAAAAGCACTTTATTTTGACATAAAAAAAAAGGTTTTTTAAAAATTAAAATCACACAGTCGTTAGTTTAGTTAGTTGCTACCACCAAGCATATTATATTTTGGGGATGACAGCCGATTATTTTACAATACTTAGTAATAAAGATCGAACTACAGTTATCGAGTTATTGGATTAGTTTAAATTACAGGACATAAAACCAACAAACAAGGTGGTAACTACATGGTAAAACGCCTCAATCCGACCGTCGGGTTTGTGTATTATAAACAATTTGTAACAACTGTCTGATGTTTGAATGGACTTTGTCAGCGACGTGTGTGTTGCTAACTACGCTAAGTAACAGTAGTTAGCTGCGCGGTGTCTGAAATTAACGTGAGCCAGTAAATCAAACTCCAGATTAATCTCACACCACGTTTAGTTTCACCAAAAATGTTAACCCAGCGCCATAAACACACAAGTATATTTCTATTCTTGCTGTTTATTTATTTATTTTCACCTCAGATGAGCCGTTTGGCTGACTGTACTTGCGTCGTTACTGCTCGACTTGGCGATGGCTATTTGCTGGAATGTAACGTTGGTAGCCGGTAAAGCTAACGTTATCACACTCGTGGTCACCAGAGTATTTCTTGGTTTTTCCGGCTGGCTTCGTTCCATTTTTCTAATTTACACAGACACGGTGAAAAGTACTGCACACACTTTCGCCAATCACAACGAGTAAAGCTAGCTTTAATTGCTTTTATTTAAAAAAATAAATAATAAAAAAAGCCGTGCCACGAAGTAGTGAGCAGTTATCTATGTTAGCTTAGCTTAGCTTCCGTGCTAAGCTACTGCGGTGCATCTCATCTTGTTTGTAGGCCACATTTCACCGGTGGCCTCTCTTCCCTCTCTTGTCTTTTAATCATTCTCTCACTTCAGTACATTTCCCCATTCGTTTCGGGAGCGGGTGCGTACCTTTTTCAGTTCGTTTTCAGAGGCAGACGGTGAAACTCCCAGGATGTCGTACAGCTTCGTGTCCACGACGCTCGCCATGATGCTGGCCGGTTTACACAGAGACCTTCTGGCTGCGGAGAGACGAGCCGACGCAAGATTCACCGGCTGGGATTGAACCGGGGCTGCCAGATACTACGACAGAGACACAAACACCCACTCGGAAACAGATGCCAAAAAGCAGCGACCGTGCAAATGCGAAAGCAGTTACGGGAATGTATTAATATGAGTTGTATTGTTATTATTTTCTTGAGTATTCCTCTCTCTTTTTTTTCCCACCCTAAAATTCATCACGTCTTTATTTTTTTAGCTATGGTATGAATGCACATGCGCGTACATTAGGGGGTTGAAATGCGATCTTACACTTTTTTATTCTCAATCTAATGCAGAGGATTTGGAATCTGGAATCCCCTTTTTATTGGCCAGGATGGGCACACATATTAAGGGTTTTTAATACAAAACATTGCAATTTGAAGGGGGAAAAAATACGAGACACGTAGACCTATGGATGTGTCTACGTTGGGGAGAACGGTAAATTCAATGTATTTTACATTTATGCAACAGAAAAGTATTCAAATTTTTTTTAAACAACCTTATATATAAACTACTATCTACAGTTAAACTACTATGTACAGTTATACACTACACATATATATGTATCTAGTAGTCTGTGTGTACATATATAAACAAACAACAAAAATAACATTTGTTGACAGTAGACAATACTGCAGAGTGCAAAGGATGCTGAAATAAATGTTTACATGCAGGTTTCTTTATGTACATGAGGCTATGAGGATATGATATTTTCTATCGTGCACATTGTAAATAGCTTTCCCGCACAGTTTAGATCTTTCTATCTTTATCTTTCTTTTTTATATACATTTAAATAGTACTTTATTTTTGTGGGAGACAAATTCCTTGTTCGTGTAAAACTTACTACCTGATTCTGATTGTGACAGTTAAAACACCTGCTGCAAACATTTATTCAAATGTGTCCATTAATCACCAGAAATTGCATTTGTATGTAGATAAAGTGGAATAAGCTACACTGCACTGTCTGAAGTTCAAAGTTCCCCTATGAGTGAATTTTTTGATATATCCCCACATCTTGAAGTATCCAGAGAATACCAGCATTTATCTAAGGAAGGTCAATCTGAAAGATCTATTGAATGTCTTAAATGTGTTTTGGGGACTCAAATTGTGGCCTAAATTTGGTTAGTCAGACTCTTAAGGAGCATTGCAACCATAGGGCCCCTGTTTTCTGCTCGTTAATAAACAGCTTTAAAGGTTATTTACTTAGAACATTCATATAGCAGCAAACATATACGCTGCAAGCTAAAATTAAATGTTTTGTCTATGGAGTCTGGTGGTGAGCGATATAACAGCTGTTTATGGTTAAACAATAGGTCTATCTTTGTAGAAATCCTTTCCATAATGTTGTCAGACACTTAACAGTGCGAGCCTGTCTGTGTCAAATACAAGCACTTTAGTGGATGTACTTCAACGGGTGCAGGATTACCTTGCAGCGATTGCAGCCCGTTTTGCAAACATAACTTTGTGAATTAAGGGTTTATTTCGACCAAACAAGCGTTGGCGATTGTTGTAAATACTATCAAAGATGATTCTGATGAGTTTTATTTTGTTTCTGTTCTGTGTTTTACGATTATCTGCAAGGTAAAATTACTGGTGAGACGTACTCATTTGTTTTGGTCTGAGATGTTGTGCTTTAGTGTGACATCTAGTGGCAGGACATTTCCAACCTTTAAGCTTTGCTATTTCATTTTGATTTTCATCATCAGCACCCTAACCCTGACGCTATAAAGTCTAATGTCTTCTGGTTATACAGCAACTTTCTGACTTTTCAAATAGTACCATACCTTAAGGATTATCAATATTCTGCAGAAATTGAGGGGCAGAGGAAATACATAATCCTACATAAATTGTGGAAAGTATCCTTTAGGCCTTAAGTAGTGTTCAGTACAATTTTGAGGTAGGCTTCTTGTACTTTACTTTATTGCCATTTATGCTACTTTATACCTCGACCCCACTAGATTTCATAGAAAAATACTCCACTTTTTACTCCACAACCTTTCACGTTTTTTGCAAGTTTTGCACTGTTGTTTCTCCTACGTGCTTAGAAGTCTAAGATGTTTTTCAATAGGTTGCAATGTGCAGCTTTGTAACTAGACATTACATTCTACACACTTTTAAGTAAATTATCTCCACAGAATATTTCCTCCACAACTAGCGTACAGAGTACCTGGACTCTGCTTTGTTTTTGGCAGGGATTATTATTAGTACAGTTTAACATCCCCTCCAGTCATGTATTAAGACATAAAAATAGTCTGCTTGGAACAATGTGTGTCTGTGTTTTTCTGCAAAGAAAAGTCTAGCTTTTAAATTAAAATCCTTAAAAAAGGAATCTACTCTTTCTACCACATTAAAAATTCCATAATCTATGAATATGCACATTTTGAAAGATGTCTCCTACTTCACTGCAAAATCCATTCTTAGTGTATGTGCACTGGTGGCTTCAAGTTTTTACATCACACTTGTATACATTGCATCCTGACCAGGACTGATCAGACTATTTGTGATGTCACAAATCGTGCTCATAGGCCCCGTTCCTTAAATTCAAACTTTCCACTTTCAGCAGATGAACATGAAAACATCCTTCTAGTGTCAAAGTCATATACATATTTCTGCACAGTGAAGCTCAAAAATTTGATTGTATGAATAAGATGAAAAATATATTTTTGAGTGGAGGAGGGACTTTAAATATGTATTTTTCAACAACTGTGTTTGCCAGGTGATACCTCTCCACAGTGCTGCTGCAGATGCACATATGGTAAAATAATAATAATGTGCAGACCACAAAGCTAGTTCAAGTGCACAAAGCCAGAATCACTCTGTACACCAGGTATAATAAATTATTGCTTTTTTTTTTGTTATCCTTTTTCTGGGGTTCCTTTAAAGCTCATTTGAGCGGCAAATGTGTCAATAAAGCATAAACATAATCAATATTTATTCACATAAACATCTTATTGCATCTTCTTTGCAGCAGTAAATTAGATGTATAAGACAGAAAGGTTTTGTTTGAGAGTTATGAATCCGAACATCACAGTTTACTGCAGTGTTTGATGCTGTATCACTCAGCTCCTGACAGCAAATAGCGTTAAATTTTGAGTTGGTCTTGTGTTTACACAGTTGATGGACAGCCGAACTTTTGATTACGTTTTAGGTATCCGCCATTTTGATTTCCAAATTGGACAGATTTTTTTTGTTTGCCTTGTCTGCTTCAAGTATAATTTGGACCGTGTCAACACGACCGCCTCGGCAGGCTTCAACCACCGTGTGTAACGGCAGTGTAAATGACATTGCAGCCGGGGAAAAGGGGGTAGTGTCTTCGAGCTTAGCAACGCAGTCATGAACAGCCATCTATGGGCCTCTGGGTGACCTGACAACCAAAGTCGCCGAGTTGCCGTTAAGCTTGCAGATGACGACGGATGAAATGACGAGCACAAGGTAACGGTCGCTTGTTTTTTTTTAACGGTTAAAAATAATTTTTAAAAAACAACAACAACAACAACAAATAAATGTGACCCTAACGTAAAGTGTTGGTGTAAGTAAAAGTGGTCGGAAGACGGTAACGCCGTCATCGTCCCACCTAGCCACGCAGCCGTGATAAACAACTGATCAATGTTAGCTATCGATAAACACCCGTCGCCGTGTTGGAATAGTTCGGTAACGTTGGCAACACGATCGAGACGTTCGCTCGCGGGCTGGCTCACGATCTGCACCCGAGGTAAGTGAAAGGCATCCGTCGGTAAACACAGTGAATAAACGCACCGCTATGTGACAGATTGGTAACAGTGGATGAGCTAATAGTCTGTATGAGCTAACGTGAAGTTACGATAACTGTCTGGATGAGCTAATCAAGCTGAATTCACCCCGATATAAAAGCTGTTATCCTTGTTATTACTGATATCCGCTAATAGCTAAGAGCAACCAGCTGATCTCAGGACGCTAGGAGGAAAAAAAAGGGGCCCTGTCTTAAAGCTGACCATGATTATACTGTGGTTTAAAATCAGCAAATCTATATCTAGCTATGGGGAAAGGATGATGTCCCTAAAGTTCATAGTCTGAGCTCTGAAACACCTGTTTGTTTAGCCCTCAAACGTGTTTATTAAAGGGATGGGTATCGTTACACAAAGGGCAGCATTGATCGTTCGTGTTATGCAATCAGTTTTAACGATGCTTAGAAAAAAAATGAGCAAGTAATGTTAAAGTCCCACTTCACTGTAAAACGATATAATGTATATTTACCCACGTGTTAGGAGTGTGTGAATGCTGATTTTGCGAGATAAGTTACGTTATATCAGTTTTCATGCCGGGGGGGGGGGCTTGACCACAATTTAACCTCAGTTTAGACAAACACGTAGTGGATCAGCTGCATATTCACCACGGGAATTAACTGTTTAATCCACAGGATAATGCACTGACTCACAGGTACATTTTATTAGCATGGCTTCTTCTTTACTGTATCTGTGGTCTTTATTTGTTTCAGGAGGGGGAGATGTCCCTCCCTCAATGCCACTGGACAGTGACAGCTCCTGTCTCATGTGTCAAGTTTGCACTTTTTAGTAACGCATATGTCAGCAAATGCAAGAATCTGTAGTCCTCCCACAGCTCACCGGCTCACACGTTTGTTTTCCTCCAAACGCGAGTATTCATATCACACACTAAAAGCTAAAAGTTTCTTCCTGCAGCGGGAATGTTATGTTATTGTTGTACCAATCGTTATTTGCTGATGTAACTGTGTGTGAGGCCATTCTCAAAGCAAGTTGTGTAATGTCAATACAGATGTGCACTAACTCAATTATAGATGCGTCGCTTCCTGAGAGGAGTGCGAGCCTGGCCTGTGCACTTCTTCTTCTTCTGTTCACTCTTCGCTCGGCTCTAACGAAGACACATCTAAGGAAGTAAAGCTTTCTGTGACATTAACATGTCGCTGTTTTTTTTTTCATTTCTCATTGCCAGGTTGAAGCCAGTCTCTCCTGGGTGTGTTCGTGTGGTGTTGGCATGAGTGAAGTGCGTGTGTTTGTGTCTTCATTGTGTGAATTTGCTGATGCTGATTGATGTCCACGCCGTGCAGTGTCAATAAGGCAAATGGATGTCTAGCAAGATCTGAATAAGGATACTAGTCCTTGTCCAAACGTAAGAGCATACATACAAACCTACAAACATACATGCAGTATATTGTCTCATGAAATGAATTGTTCAGCCTCACGTCACTGACTTATGCCACACTTGCTGTCATGATACTTATCGCCGTGCCACATCCTCTTTCGGCCAACAGCTAAGTGTATGTGCCAGTGACGTCAGCCATGTTTTGGAAGTTCGACTTACACACATCTTCTCACCTGGAGGCTTTACTGGACAAGGAGGATGTCACTCTCATTGAGCTCATGAACGAGGAAGATGTGCTGCAAGAGTGCAAGGCCCAGAACAGGAGGTCTGTTTTATTGTTAGCTTCAGTATTTCAGCAGCACTTTGACATTATTGCATTTGTCTAGTAATTGCTGCTGGTGCTCACTGGTGCTTCTTTTTCCTCATCATTGTGGATTTGTAGACTTCTCCAGTTCTTGTGCCAGGACCAGTGCATGCTGGAGCTGGTCCGTATGATTACTACAGAGCCCCCTGTTGGTGTAGAGGAGATCAAGCGCTTCAAGTAGGTGGTTGTGTAGAAAGTGCTGATCTAGAGTACTGTATGCAGGAAAGAGTGTGTTTTGCTGGCGCAGCACTACATCATGTCGTTTACCTGCCATTTTGTAGTAAAGATGAGAGCTCAAGTTGGCTCAGCTCTGTAAAAAATGGTTGGTTCGTGATCCAAACCATTGATAATGCATTTAAAATGTAAAACTACTTAATTGTCTGTTGGATAATCAGTGTTTAAAAATCAGCACAATGCTGTTCCAGAAAACATTTTTCTTTCCTGTTTACGTTCACTAAGGTTGATAATAAGAATTGATTTAGTGTCTGCTTTGTTTTAGTAACAGATGTGTTTTCTTTATTTATTACAGGTATCCAAATATAGCATGTGAGCTGCTGACATGTGATGTTGGAATGATCAATGATAAGCTGGGTAATGAGGAGCCTCTGCTGGAAACTCTGTATTCCTTGCTGGAGCAGCCATCCCCACTTAACCCCCTCCTGGCATCTTTTTTTAGCAAGACAATAGGGAACCTCATCACACGGAAGACTGAGCAGGTAACACACACACACAGCTAAATCAAAGGTCATACTCAGAGAAGATGACAGCTATGTTGTTGTGTTGTTGTGATTTAATTCACAAAGTCTGAGGGTTGTTTACAGCGAGAGAATAGAAAATGGTCACTCTGGGAATTACTCTTAACGAAGATGGCTGTAAAGTTTAATTTCTCTTGAAATGCTAAGACGCAGCTGTTCCAACACACAAAGCAGTGCACATAGGTCGAGTTTTTCCGTGTTAGTGGCAGGGCCTGAAGATGTCAAGGTCAGTAAGCCTGTCCATCTGCCAACTAGATTCTTGGTTTAAAGCAATATACTGTAGCTTGAAAACTGTCCCGAAGGCTGTGACAGTTCGAAAGGATATTTATGTTCTAGTTAGGATGATTTAAAATGAATCTGCTGACCGCTGTGACCTTGACCATAATTTTAATTTAAATAATAATTGCTGGACGTAAGGAACATTTCTGTGGATTGCCTCTTGTATGCAGTTCACCAAAATCATAAAAAAAACTATTAGTGATATTTCAATTATTTATTTTGGATGTACTTGTTTGGAATTGTAGCTCATATAAATGTATTTGTGTGTAAATAAAGGAGGATAGGAGTTGTATGTAACGTTTGCTTGTGATTATGTTTACATAATCTGGTGTTTGTGATTATGTGTGGATACTTAATGTACTTCTTAGGTTCAATGTTGCCAAGTGGCCCTGTGAAACATTTAGTGAGGCAACTCTGAGGACACCTATTTTACCAGAGGCAGCCACTTGATACACTTGCTGGAATTGATTGACACTTATTGTTGGTGACAGGTTTAAAAGGCTTAACCCTGAAGCTAAATGAGTATTGCACACGGAGAAAAGGCGTCTGTGCTGTGCATAGAAACAGACAGAGCGGGATTAAAAGGGCATTCTGATAGATTAATACTCCGATCTGCGGATGTTTTGAAATATCTACTTCTTTGAATTATGTGTTGGAGGTGAATGGGATTTAATCTGTGCTGCTCAAATCACTGAAAAACGCTTTTAAAATGTGTGTATCTGCAGAAAAGATATCCCGCTTACTTCTTACCTAATAACAATAAACAACAAAAATCAAACATTTTCCGTTTTGTGGCACAGTGTTTCCTCTACTCTCTGTTTTGTTCAGGTGCTTAGTTTCCTGCGACGGAAAGAGGAATTCCTTTCCTTGGTCCTGAAGCATATCGATACATCAGCCATGATGGATGTGCTCCTAAGGCTTATCAGCTGTGTGGAGCCACCCACTCTTCGGCTTGATACGCTTACTGTATGAACAAATTAACCCACATTCATAATTTTACACGTTACACACATGATATTGTTTGCAGTTATAATGTGACAATTTTCTCAACAGTGGCTGAATGAAGAGAAGCTCGCCCAGAGGCTAATAGAGCTCATTCACCCTGAGAGAGATGAAGAGGTAGAAGGGCATTTCAGTATTTTTAATGAATAGGTAATTCTCACAGGCTCTTGAATATACAATTTACTAGACTGAATGTTCCTGTGTGTGTTTGTTTTTTTTCTCTCACAGAGGCAGTCCAATGCATCTCAGACTTTGTGCGACATCATTCGTCTGAGCAGAGACCAGGCCAATCAGCTCCAAGAGATTTCACAGCCTGACCCATTGCTGACTGTGCTGGAGTCGTAAGTCAGACACACACACACACACACACACGCACACACACACACACATACGCATGCTGGCCTCTCTTTACAGAATATGGAGGCAATGACATACTCCATTGTGTCCCTGCAGGCAGGAGTGTGTGGAGCAGTTGTTGCAGAATATGTTCTCAGGAGAGAGTAATGAGAGCTGTATCATCAATGGGATTCAAGTTCTTCTCACATTACTGGAAATCAGGAGGCCTGTGTGAGTGTGAGACTTTTCAATCGATTTTAAACTGTCAATAAATAATACTATATACCGTAATTTCCGGACTATTGAGCGCACCTGAATATAAGCCGCACCAACTAAATTTAAAAAGAAAAAAAAATTTGTACATATAT